ACGCAGAGAAGGAGAACAAAAAGACTGAAATGAATTTACAGCTCACCCATTGGGGGATGGATGTGCCGAAGATGAAGTGATGATCATCTCTGTTTTTTGCTAAAATGAAATATGATGGCAAGGGAGCCCAGTGCCATTTCCTGCCTGGCACAGGAAGCGCCCATCTGGAGTTGAGTGCTGTCTTTCCTCTGTTGTTGTGTTGCATGGTGTTGTAATGGCTTTTGTCACTGCTGTTGCTGTTCTCAGTGCTGTTATTATTTCTGAAGCATCACACAGGTCAGCTGAGGGAGATGGGGGAGAAAGAAAGGATATTCATAGTTTAAGATGCTGTGTTGTGGATTGTTGAGGAGAGGACTGGTAAAAATGGAACTGGGAAGGGGGTAATAGAGGCAGGGGAAGAACAGTGAGACGTATGCTGGCAGCTGCCTGTACAACTGTCATTTCCCACCGCCCGCCTGAAAAGCAGAAGGAAGCCACTCTTCATCACCGTGACAACCAATGCACGACAAGAGGAGGGAGGAAAGTTATCCATCAAAATATGATGCAGGGATGAGTGCACTCCTTCGTCTTTCTGCTCACACACGCGCGCACACACACACACACACACACACACACACACACACACACACACAGTCATCATATTTCATTCAGGTCATCAAGACCAACTGTCTCCAAGAGGAAATCTCTGACTGAATCTCATGCTTTCTCCACTCAACAACATAATAATGTATTTTCCTCATAACAAAGTGACTGTAACCCCCCGTAGGGCTAATGTTCAGAATGCAAAACTGAAAGCACAAGAGGAGGGAAACAGCTATTCAAGTGTGAACTAAAAAACACCCCAAGAGCCAGAGACTTCCACACTGACACAGAAAGCAACTGTCTGTTTGTGATGTAGACAAAAGCATGGATTCATGTAAAGGAAATTGACCTACAAACCAGAAAATAATCTTCTAATACAGATTTTTTACATAATCTACAACCAAGAAGCTGACTGTGATTAAGATTTGTATAATATTACACATATTACACTTTCTAAATGTAAAAATCATGAGTATGTCATGTGCATTTACAGAACATACTCAATATTTTTGCTGTTAAGTGACACTTTCCGATCTCCAGTACACTGGAAATGGATGCCCCATGGATATCTCATTAGTTATACAGTTAATATGTGGTCAGAAAATGACTTAAAGCTACCCATTTAAAGCAGCTAAGATTGCAGACTGATGGTTTGGGATCACAGGAAAAATGCCTGAAATGAAGACTACAGTACATATTCTGAAGTGTTGACGCATGAATAACTAGAAACTATGAGTACTGAGCACCACCCAGTGGTTGATTACTGTACATGTGTCCAGTTAAAGCTCTCACTCAGAAGAAACACATATGTATGCAGGCCTGTAGCTGCTCAGGAAAATAGAGAATCCACACTCAGATAAACGAAGCTGGTACTTTTCACACTTTCACCAGTTTTATATATGATGAGAACCTTGTGAAAGAGGCCACTCGTAGTGATGAACCTACAGAGAATTATACCCTGAATCTGCAGCTCCCATTGGTTTGCAACTTTACTGTACCACTTTCATAGCCACTCTCATCTTTTCCAGCAGAAAAAGTTCTAAAAGCTCACTAAGTCAGCTGTAAAGTCTAACCTCCAGAGGACCAGCCACTGTTAGTATCCACAGCAGATGTGAGAAGAATCCTGCTGCGAGTGAATAGAAGTAAAGTTGCTGGGCCTGACAAACTCCCTGGCTGTGTTCTAAAAACATGTGCCAATCAGCTAGTTGATGTTATTACTGACATTCTTAACAGTCTCACAGGAGAGTGTTCCTGTCAGTTTCAAGGCAGCTAACAGCTACCATCGTCCCTGTTTCCAAAAAGTCTGCAGTGTCTACTCTGAACAGCTATGGTCCTGTGGCTCTCACTCCCATTCTGAGAAACTAGTTCTCCAGCACATGAAGAACAACATCCCAGTCAGCCTGGACCCTTACCAGTTTGCATTCATAACCAACAGATCCACAGACGATGCCATTTCCTGTGCCCTCCACTCAGTTTTCACACACCTTGAGAAAAAAAACACCCGCATCCGCATGCTGTTTGTGGATTTAAGCACAGCAGACACCAGAGCCCCCAAGGGCTGCGTGCTCAGCCCCCTCCTGTTCACACTGTACACTGACTGCAACACACTCGTTGGAGCCCATTGCTCTCAAGACTGATTTTGATGTTCATTTTTTAGTTTATTTGCTGACTCCATAACTCTCTTATAGTTTACTTGTATTACTGTTTTAGCATTATTAACCTGTAATCATCACGTGTAACCACAGTGCCTGCTGTTCACCATATTATTTGCTTTAACAAAAACTAAAAGATTCCTTCAGCTTTTGTTGTGTGCGTTTCCACCAAAGTCTAAAGACCTGCAAAGAAAGTACTACCCCCGGAATCTAATTTAGACCCTGGTCCCTGCGGTGGAAACGCAGTAAGTTCCTCTAAAGGTTCCTATTTCTGGGGTATAGTTCCCGTGGTAGAAACGCAGCTATAGATTTATGTGTTTTTGTTTGACTTTTATCATTGATGGAAAACTGTCAAATTATTAGAGCTGCTTAGTTTATTTACTTTCCCGCTCCACATTTCTTCACCATATCCATGGATTCACACTATTCATTTCAATAAAGTATAACATGAAAAAATTTATTTTGCATTTGTCCAGGTTGGTAAAAGCAATACATACATATAAGACAACATAATACATGTGTCCATGCACACATAACACAAACTTCATCCCATTATTTTACTGTCATCTATTGGCAGGAGGGCCACACTGGTGTCTGCAGTGCAAACCAACAGGCACGACTGTAGCCAGCGGTACAGGCAGAATAATGAATGAGTAATGAATAATAAAAGAATAATGAAGAATAATGACTTGGGGACACACGCATATGCACTCATGAGCACACATCATGCACACACACAGACATAGATAATTATACAGTACCACCGTCTATTTTTCCCTCATAGAAAGAGAGAGATGTTCCTCTTCATTAAGAGGAAGTCATAGATGGGCGTAGGGTACGTGTGAAACGCTATCTAAAACCACCTCATACCAACATATTTAAGGAATTAGTGGTACAGATGATATCATCAAGAATTGTCAGAGTTCACCATCTAAAAATACTCAAAATGATCAACATCCGCATTTGCTGCTCTCGTGCAGTATTGATGCTTTGTTGATGCTTGTATGTTCTTCAAATGTAAGTCGCTTTGGATAAAAGTGTCTGCCAAATGAGTAAATGTAATGTAATGTAAATGCTCTAAAAGCATTTGGTTTGAATGCCACTTAGCAATGTGATTTATGTCACTTCTGATCTGTGACATTTTCATGCATTTCTTCATCATGTCTATTTCAAAATGTCACAGTGACCATGTGGAAATGAAAGTAGTTGTTTTTTCTGTCTGTTTAATTGTGATGGCAACGAAAGATGTAATTCTAATTTGTGCTGTTTATATAAATAAAGAAGGTTCATTGTTTAAAACTGCAGACCTTGGTTACAATACTTACTAAAGAAAGCTGACTTGACATGATTGTAAAGTAGGCCTAAATTCACAGAAAAATAAAAATGATTACGGATTTTGGATGGTAACGCTTTATAATATGAATACAAAACACATGCTTATATATTGCATAACTAAAATATGACTCATGATAAATGAATGCATGGAGTGATACAGGATTTATCAAGAATTGTTTAATTTATCAAGGCTGTGCAGCTGCTCCTGACACAAAGAGATATGTCAGTAGAAAGAAAATAAGTACATCTACTGATGAACTGTGCTAAAGTAAAATTTATACTTTCATACTTGTAATTGAGTCTTTTACATGTTGGTATTTGTCAATAAGTTCTTCACTATGTGTTATAGAGCGATTTCCTGTAACCCTATGACATTTTGTTCCGCAGTAAGAAAGCTAGCAACACCTTTGTGATGCAAGAGAAACCACTTCCCACATTTCAGTGACACAACTGTAAGGTCTAACTTTGTTTGCGTTTTGTTCCAAAACAATGTATATTAGAACTTACACAGTGGTTATGGTTACAGTTTGAGTGAGCCCTTCACGAAATATTAAATGCTCTCACATGTACATATGGTCAGTCATTTTCATACAGAAGAGGATTAGGGCGACAGTCATATATCTGAGAATAGAGTCAGAATTCTGATTTTGGAATGCAAATATGTGTGGCCCTTATCTTCTGTATGAAAACGAGTGGCCATATGTAAATATAAGAGCATTTTAGCACCACTGCAGTGTTTTTGTTATGCAGCTACTGTATTCGACTATGAGATTATACACATGTTTTTATAATTTTGTCCACCCTGTGTTTTGGTTTCATTTGTACAGTCTGATATACTGGTTTTTGCAGAACCGTACAAAATCCACTCACTTCTACTGACCCTCTCTGGCAGCCAGTGAGAGTTTGCCTCAGGTGAGAGGCGTCAAACTGTCCAACAGTAACAATCTTAGCTGCCATCACAGCCTAAGCCTGAAGGTGACCACTGTCGGAGATATGACATGTTCAAAACCAAGTGTGTTGAGAGTCTGATAGACTTGCCCGTCAGCTCTGAAATTTTAAAAACCATTAAAGGTTCTGTCGAGTCTGGTTAAATGTTTCTCCCGCAGGTCATAAAATTGATTGACAGATTAAAAATTTTACAAACTAAAGGCTTTCATGGGTGAGATTAGGTTTAATTGTGATTATCTTATGCTAATATATGCATTTGCGTTTGTGTTACTCTTATACCTTTGGTTTTGTTTAACTTGGTCTCTATGTTTTTAGGTTTTGTATTTTTTTATTACTGCTTGCTTTGTATAAAAAATGAGGAATCATATTATATTGATAATGATTATATTATTTCTGCACAGCTGTTTTGTTGAACATATAAAAAAAGGAACCTAAAACTTCCCTTATCTTCAGTTTGCCAGTATCATACTTCCTCCATTCTCACCTGTGCTTAGATTATAGCGCTTGATTCATTCTTGTACCTGTTTGCCTGAAGTGAGTGCGACATTAGCTTTTTGTGCTCAAAACAATATGCTGTTTAGGTTTTTCCCCCTGTTCTTTTTGTGTGAGAGCACAGGTAAGGAGATTTTTATGTTTTTAATTGAATATAGGTTTCAAATATACTGTTACATTTATTTGTGCTTGTACTTATCCTTACAGTGACAGTGCTGACAAATAAGTCACAAGGGCTAACTACAGTAGCTGCGGAAGGTAATACAGAATTTGACTGATCAAATGAAACTGTTAAAAATAATCCTATGCGGATGTACACTGCTATACACTACACAGCAGTCTTTTCAAAAAGAATGGAATCAGGGACACCCCAAATAGCTCCTCCCACTTCACAGCTCTATGATGTTTACTTTGATCAGCATTTTAATTTAGCAGTATGTTAGCATGCTAACATTTGCTCATTAGCTCTAAACACATGGGCACCATGACAATCTGTAACAAATTTAATGGCAATCCATCCAGTAGTTGTCAACCTAATTGTGGTGCTAGAGGAAAAGTCAGGGTATCACCAAAGTCATAGATTCATTTACTGGGGCCTGTGAATATCTGTACAAAGGGACATGGCAAGCTATCTTATAGTTGCTCAGTTGTTTCAGTCTGGGCCAAAGTGGTGGATAAAACTAACAACAAACAGACGTTGCCATCCCTAGACCCATGCCTCTAGTGTGGCTGAAAATGCATGCAATACCAATATATTCTGTCTGTCGTCTGTTTCATTCCTACTCTCTCCTTCCTCCATCCATCATCCTTGATTCTTCCCCAGATAAGCTATCACCTCTGCAGCTGGTGGCCACACCAGACTACCCAGTTGCAGCAGGTCAAGAAGTCCACCTCCACTGCAGTGCTTTCAACATGCCAATTGTCACTTGGTCTTGGCAACACCTGGAAAATCAGACCTGGCTAGAAGTGGGCATCGGTACAGATCTGACACTCACCAAGCCAGAGCAGAGTGGGCTTTACCACTGCAGTGCAGAGACCAAGTCTCTTCAGAAGAGTGTGAGCCCTAACCACACAGTCTATATCGTCTCCATGCCTGCAGCGACAGGTTTGTGGTCTGTTTTGATTTGCTGCATATCTGAATTAAATGAGGGAGAAATCTTTAGGTCTGCACATTCACCCAATGTTCATTTTTTTCATGCTGATGACTGGCAATCACATTGGAACTGATCACACAATGGATTGTAGACAATTACTTAAGGCTCTAAGGCTTTGGTTCCATCTCACCGCTCTCATAGCGTTGTTCATGGCCACAGCAGGCAGCTTTCAGCAAAAAGCCTCTCAAATCCTTGCTACCCGCTGCCAGTTAGCTACTAGCTGGTGAACATTGTCAGCTAAAGAGCCAGTTACACTATTTACCTCATGAGATGGTGGAGACTAAAAACAGATGGAGAGTAAATATTGGACTTACACCAGGTGGCCAGAAACACAACTCCAAATGAATGCTAATGTTTCTCTCTATCTCCTGAATGCCCCCAACTGGCCAAACAATCAGTTATTGGAGGTTTATATTTGGTTGGTAAATAATTGTCATTAAGATATAGCATGTAGTGAGTAGAAAATTTTACATTTGAAAATTATACTTGTCAGTTAGCTTTGGTGGACAAATAATGCAATGGCAACGGTGTTTCTAACTTACCTCATCTCTTGCATTTCTATACAGAAATTTCATAAATTTCTTCTTAAAATTACTTTTTAACAGAAAAAAAAAAATTCTGCAGTAGGCTAATATCTTATATTTAAACAACCAACTAACTAAAGGTTTGTATTTATCAACTGTTTATCATTTTGCTGTGACCTACAACTAAAGCCTTTCTCCTGCAATTCTGTGCGGTTTCCACGGCTCACAAAAGCTGGTGAGAATTTAGGAATAGCTGCCTTCACTATCTCTCTCCTGGCCTTGATCATCAACCTTGCTATTCTTTTTTGGCTATGCTGGCAAAGACTTGGTGACCCCTTGGTGACCACCTCCAGCACTGCAGCTAAAGGTAGAACACCACACCACAGAGCACTTTCTGTTGTGTCATATTTTAAGCAAATGTTCTGTGGATCATTTTAATTTCTTGGTTTTCTTAAAGGTATTCCCGGACCTGAAAATTTGCCAAAGTAAGTCTACAGGAAAAACAATTATACTAATGTTTGCAGTTTGTTCACATGCTGTTAGCCAGCCGAGTCTGTATGAATGCTGTATATATTAACAATGTGATCACATTTTTCTGCACAACAGGGGAGGTTTGCCACAGGCTGACAGTGATCGAGATGTGTACATGAATTACACAAACACCAACCGAGCCTACACTGATCTGGGCTCCACCCATAAGAATGAAGATAATGTGTACTCAGTTCTGTCATGAACATCTGTAGAATGACAAAGAGGAAAAATGACAAAATGAGCATTTGGTCCAACCACAGACTAAAATTTGGTAATTTCTGCATTTAGAGCCCAGCATTAATAAACCTGATGGATGAGGATTTCCATAAACAGTTTATCAGTGTGTGGATGACTTGAAAAAATTTACTTTGTTTGATTTAATCTAATTTCACACACATTATTTGACATAATCTGAACATGTTAAACACTAAGAGGCCGTTCCTTCTCCGTGTTTGTACATGTAAATAAAAACTGTACAATTTTCTGTGTCTCAAATCGCATGTACAGTTGATGGGGATATATTTTACTGCTTGGTTATATGTCAAAAAATTGACTTTTTAAAATGTATTTTTAATCATCATAAGACAGCAGATTAAAATAAAAAACGGTTTCTTTATTGAGTACTATTTTCCAATACTAGATAACAAAAGCTGCTCCATTTAATAAAAAATGCATCATACATTTGTTACACCAGCTAATAGTATATAGAAAATACTGTATAAAGTATATCTACACCTGATAGCTAAATAATAATAAGCTTTTAGTTTCTTTGTCACAGTGAATCATGGAATTTTCTATGATGAGAGATATGTCACAATACTGCATGCCAGAGGGGAAAGACCTCAAGCATTATTACTTCTGTTCCCTGATTTCACAATACCATATATAAGTTGTTCAGGCAAAGATACATAAAATCTGTAATGTATCTAATGGGAGACAACAATCTCATAGCATATATTTTACTGATATAATGTCAGGCACGGGAAGTATACCTATTAATGTGTGTGCTGAGTGTGTGAGTGCAATCTAGTGAGAAGCTCCACTCTGAACACCAAATAACAGATGGCATGGCAAAACTTCTGCTTTTCAGTTTGAAGTTCACACAGGAAGAGAAAAAGAACTGACGCAATTCAGTCCACAGCACCTACAGGATACAGAGATCAAATGTCAAGATAATGTGTGCAAGACGACATTAAAGTTTCTTAAAAGACATTCTGAGGGATTGGTACCACCAACATTAAATTACATAGACAACATAGGTGTCATTTACACTGGGGACGCTGGAGACATGTCCCCACCACTTTTTTAAAGCATAATTTGTTAAAAAACTTTCTGAAATATAGCTTTCAGTTTAATGCCAAATGAAAACGCCTTTAGAAAGGTTTGTTTGCACATTAAGAAAACATTCAATGTAATTAAAATATAGAAGAAACGTATCCACATTGTCCAAAAAAAGGAACTTAAACTAAAAAGAAAACAAGCTGCTGATTATAAAATAACCCAGAAATGTGCAGGCACCAATCAGTAACTTTCATAACATCTTGACAGTTTCTTTTTGGCCAAATTTTCTGTTCTCTCCCTCCATTATATTCCATTATGTTCTGTTATATTTATATATTTTGAAATGTCATGTGCTTTAACAGAAATTGGTGCAGAAACCTTTACCAGAATGCAGGAAATGAAGTGTCTGAAGATCAAAATTTCCTGGGGGAGGACCCCCACACCATTCACTTATATATCTCAGCATTGAGGATATCTTTAAAACACTGTTAAAGTGTTTATCTTTTTGTCTTGTTCTAGTGAACCTAATATCGTGTATGTCTGTATGGATGTCTCGTGAGCTAAGTGTCTCTTCATACCCCTAATCTGAGCCCCTTTCTCCTGTCCACTTTTCAACACAAAGTGACACCCTTGAAAGACAAAATATTGTATATTATGTAATTTTGTATCATTGACAATATGAGAGAAGCAACAGATATCTACATTTTTATTTACAAATATTACACATGTTTAAATCAGTCCATTTCAGGATGTTGGTGCTCACTCTGGAGTCTCTGGCTCTGATTCCTGCTGTCCATTGAGAGCTGTGAGGTGACCGTCTGTGAGCACCCGTCTCCCTTTCCTAACTTTTTAATGTGGGCCATGATGAACCTTCTAAACTTCCTTGTGGCAAAAAAATAAACAACAGGATCCAAAATGCAGTTGAGGCCCATAAGAACCAAGGTGATCTGATGTGCGTCATTGAGCATCTGATCCGTCTTCTGGTCCCACTTTACATGGCCCCAGCCCTCTTTGATCCGCAACACAGCCAGTGTCCATGGGCCTTGTATTACATGGTGGGGAAGGAAACACAGAACAAACACTCCCACCACTGCCAACAACATCTGCACAGCCCTCCATTTCACCCCCCTGGGTCTTTTAGTTGAGGAGGACATGGTCCTGGTGGACTTTCTAGAAATAATTGTTGCAGACCTGCTGACTTCTGACTGAGCAGGACTTTGAGAAAGTAACGCTTGAGCAATAAGGAAGTTACACACCACGACAAGAAAAAAGACAAGAAAAAACATTCCAATTATTGCAAAATGAGTACCGGCAACTATTTTCTTCTGGGAATCAGTTCCATTTTGGTACCCCTCAAAACAGCGAGTGACGTTGTTCTCGTCAGTGTTGGTCCCTGGAGATGCCAGAAATGGAATAGCCATCAACATGGTCAACACCCAGATGACAACGCACACGATGATCCCACGACGCCTGTGGTCTGAAGAGGCTGCATCCAGAGGCCGGGTGACTGCCCAGTATCGGTTGACGCTGATGGCTCCGAGGAAGAGGATGGAGCAATAGGTGTTGATGAAGAAGAATGAGCCAGTCAGCCGACACATAAAATCTGAGTAGACCCAGTTGCCGTGGCGACTATAATAGCCAACCCAGAAGGGAAGGGCACACACAAAAAGGAGATCAGCGATGGTCAAGTTAGTCATATAGATGCGGATTTCGCCCATGGCCCTAGCCTCACGGAGGCAGCGCAGGACAAACAGCACATAAAGGTTGGCGAAGAGGCCCAGGATGAAGATGATGCCATAGACAACTGGGAAGAGGACATAACGAAACTCAGAGTCCAGGAAGGTTGAGTCATTATGGGCTTCGAAACCCAGACCAGATGTTCCTGTTAGAGTAACTTGTTCTGGAGTTGAGGTCAGCATTTCTCTATTTTGGAGACAAAACACATCAACATCAGTGTAATGTCCCCAGCATAAAGCATTCTGGTGCTTCTTTCAGTCAAAGGAAGTACATTCCATTGCCAGTTTATTAGGTACACCTAGCTACAACTAATGCAGTCAAATGCAACAGTCTTCTAATAAATCCGATCATTTTGGAGGCTGCAGTTTGTGGTGCTGTTGAATTGTATTGCTTTATACTGACAGGTGTTATTACTGTCCATTATTTTTTCATCAAAAATGGAACATTATAGCCTTAGTGTGTACGTACTGTTGTTTTTTAAAAAGCACCTTACTAAGGACATACCTTACTTACTAAGTATTAAAAGTAAGCTTTGCACTCAGTAGTGCCATCTTCTAATCTATCAATTAATCATCAATATTCAAGTCACGTCTCAGTGTTAAGTTTAAAGACAGAGCAGGTTTCTCATTATGATTTATATCAGCTTTACAGTTTTAAACATGCTTGGTTTAATCTACCAGTCTTGATTTGTACTTTTTCTTTAAAGAAAAACAATACAAATTACAGGCAAAACAAATTACATTTGACTTACCAGATAGCTTCCTCTCCGCAAATATATCTTGAATAGTTTGAACACTATGAGTGCCTCAGTAGCTATCAAGTACAGTTAAAATGACTCATTTGTGTGTCTTCCAGTGGGTGTGTGTCTTACTGTGGTGGTGTTTCACGACAGTCGGGGTGTGAACTTCTCAGGAAAACCCCCAGTTGTGTAACATGCATATTCACCGCCACATATCACATGTTTGTTCCTTTCCATCAAATTCACAGTTTTCAATTCACAAGTAGGCTACTTCCAATTTTAACAAAAAATAACATACTTTGTTTGGAAAGATTTGCTTTATTTAAAGATGCTCAATATACAGTTCAATTCAACACATAAGTTACATTAAAATTTCCATTTTGCACAAGAAAATGGATTTAGAAGAAAGGAAAAAGAAAAATACACATGTATACTGATAATGGCATGCAGTACATATTACAAATAATTAACCAGAACTATTGTAGAGGTAATGAATGAAAACAGTTACCTAACTATTAAATAATAATAATACAATAACTCATACTGGTTCATTCAGGTTGTGTAACTTTCAGAAAACCCTTGTTATTACAGTTTTTCTCAATTGCTTAAATACTGTCACCAGGCTTTTGAACCAAAATTTCAAAACCATAATTAAATTTTTCAAAAAGTGCACTGTGTAGAGTTTAGTGCACTAAAAAATAAAGTGCACTAAACTATACACAAATCCCATCATTTCTCATTGCCTACACCATGTGGTCATTTAGAAAGCATTACCAATCAATATTGCACAATAAAGCAGAGCTTTAGCTCAATTAGCACACAGCTACCCAGGTGGAAACACAAATAGTTACAACTGATAACACACCAATCAGAAACTTCAACAGATAGATAAAAGTGCCAGAGTCATTTCATTCAGTTTTGGAACAATGGATCCAGATAGATGTGAAGGAAGAGGCAGAGGACACCAGAGAGGAGGAGGAGGAGGAGGATGAGGTGGGAAAGGAGGAGGAAGAGGAGGAGGAGGTGGAGGAGGAGTTGGACGAGGAGTAGAGAGAAAAGAAGGAGGTCGAGGAGGAGGTGGGAAAGGAGTAGGAAGAGGAGGAGGAGGTGGAGGAGGAGCAGGAAGAGAAAGAAGAGGACGAGGTGGAGGAGGAGAATCTCTGGTCTGTCCCAGACCAAAGACAAGGGGCAGAATAATTTGCTGTTTGGTGTGTTGTACAGTACACTAAAAAATAAAAAATGTGCAGATGTTTACATTTGTTATTGAGGTGGAAAACCACAAGCAACATTACTTAAAACCAGTTTTGTAGTATTGTTTTGAATTTATCTCACCAGTGTGTAAAACTGTGTTGTAGTGTGTGTGTTTTTGAGGGCTTGTGTATATGTCGGAGGACGAAGTTTGGTTTTTCAGCAAGATTGAATGGGTTTGAGTTGGAGAGCTTCATTTTGACCTGAAAAAAGGATTGTTTGGAGAATTGAGTGAGAAGTTATGGATTTGGGCTTAGAGTTTCAAGAAAGAGAGGCATAATTTCAAGAAATGTGTTTCAGCAATCAAAAACTGTAATGAAAGCAGAACTGCATCAGCTGTTGCTCGTGTTTCTAGGCATGAGCAGGGCCTTAACCAGGGTTTAGAAATTAGTGAGGTCCAGTTTTTTTGTTCCCTTAACGGCGCCTATTACGGTAATTCATACCAAAATTACACCTAAACACAACCAAATTTACACAACAGAGTCACACAAACTAACTAATGATCTTTAATGAAATACATAGACCTACAAAGGAACCTGTTGACAAAAAATACTTTTATTAAAGCTGAATTTAGCGCTCCTCCTCTTCGTGTGTGTGTGTGTGTGTGTGTGTGTGTGTGTGTGTGTGTGTGTGTGTGTGTGTGTGTGTGTTTGTGTGTGTGTGTTTGTGTGTGTGTGTGCGCAGTGAAGGCTTAAGTGGGCAGTGGGCAAAGCACTGTGTTTGGCTGAAGAACACCCTAACTATGGGCTTTATCCCAACTGCTTGGCTCACTAAAAATGCAAAACACAAACACACAAGCTATGATCGGGTAGTGCAAACAGGTGAATCTTAGTATACTAATCTTCACAACATACATTAGGCTACATGTTTCTCAAATGTAACTGTCATCACAGGACTGTACTGTTGGAATGACATGTGCAGACTACATAATGGGCACTATTATTACATGACAACATAAAATACAGCAGGTTAGTGGTGAATGCAGAGGATGGTCTGGTTTATATTACAGCCTAATAATTTGACATCAGCAGCTGTTTGCACTGTTTTGTCATGATTATAGCAGATCTTTAGCCCACCTGGCTGCGATGGACTGGCGACCTGTCCAGGGCGTACCCCGCCTTTCGCCCGATGCCAGCTGGGATTAGCTCCAGCCCCCCGCGACCCTGTACGCAGGATAAGCGGTTGACGATGGAGGGATGGATGGATGGATAGCCCACCTGTACTGCTCCTTGTAGCTTTCCAGCTTATTTCTTTATTGTGTTGTAGATGAGTGTTTTCTTTAACGGTTTACTTTAATGATTAGAGAGGCTGCTGTCAGTGATTTAAGCGTTTTATTTAATAATGTCACAGCAAATACTGTGGGACATTTATGCAGCAAAACAAACAACCTGTAGGTAAAAACTTGACAGGACAGACAGAGGAAACAGATTTAAACTTTTAGCCTCTGAAATGTTTAGATGCTCTGGAGGATGGAGCTACTCAGGAGGGCAGCTACTTTAGTCCAGGCAGTCTCACTGTATTAACCAAGACTGTGTGTTGGATGTGTAGAAGAACACAGAACATTAATTAACATTAGATTCTGACCGATCCTGTCAGCATGTCGGGAAATTTAAATATGAAGTTGACGTGGCTCGTGTGTAAGTGAACACAGCGTCTTTCTTAATAGAGAGACGCTTCACGCTTTTTCACCCACCTGGAAATTCACAAAACGTATTTAAACTCTGCCTGCAAACAGTGGAGCTTTCAATTGTTGCATGCACAACTTTTTCATGTGCTTCGTCAAGTCTGGACACTGATGGGGAAAGAATTTTTCAACTTGAAATGAGGGTTGCGACGGTATAACCAGCCATGTCAGCATGGTCCTAAACCCTTCATTTAAGTGATAGTTTAATCAATGGTTTTTATTCACATTTTTTTAATTGATAGGCTTGTTCCTACATATAATCACAGAGGTCCGGATCTCGTTGACCACATAGCTGGTTACGGCCTTGGTCGTGAGCAAGCATCATTCTGAACTGAAATGAGCACTAAATGCTGGACTCAAAGGCAGAAAAGGAAGCACAGGGATTGGATTACAGTCAACCTTGAGACAAACATTGCCCACTGCATCTTCCGACTGACTACCCCACCAGACCAGCTGGTACAAACACAACTACAAGTGGTACTATCGCCCCAGGAAGAGAGCTAAACTAACCCAGCTTGGATTAGCTGACATTATCCGCTCAGTAGTATATTGCTAACATCAGCTAACATTAGCCAGCTAAACCCACAATATCACAATATATTTCACATGCTTTGCAGTAATGTTAGCTTTGACTTAGAACTGTGTTGTGGTGGGTTGTTTGTTGACGTTTGCAGGCTCCATTTTTAAGCTAATGTTAGCTAGTGTTGCACACACACTGTACGTGAGCTGAAGAGAAGGCACTCAGGAGCATGCATAAACAATTACATTTACTCATTTGGCAGATGCTTTTATCCAAAACTACTTAAATTTAAGCAACATACAAGTATCAATAAAGTAAGAGATATTCAAGTGACAATAGATACTAATAAAATAATATATTTATTTACAATAGGTGGTGAGAATTTTGGAATAGCTGCCTCTGTCCTCTCTCTCTTGGTCTTAATCATCAACCTTGCTGTGTATTTTTGGCTGGGCTGGCAAAGACTTGGTAACACATTGACCACCTCAAACACTGCAGCTATAAAGGTAAGGAACAGCACACACCATTTCCTGTTGTGTTTTTTAAGCAAATGTTCTGTGGTTCATTTTAATTTCTTGGTTTTCTTAAATCCTGGAGCTGAAAGTCACCAAAGTAAGTCTCTACAGAATATTTATGTTGGTGTTTGCATTTTGTAAGCATGCTGTAAGCTAGCTGAATCAGAAGACTGGATGAATTAGTGTAACAATCTGATAACATTTTTCTGCATAGGGGAGAGGACTGCCGCAGACCAACAGTGATGGAAATGTGTACATGAATTACACAAGAACCAGCCAAGCCTACAGGTAATATCTGCACATAGAGCTCAGCATTACCTTAAACCTTATATGTTTGCCATATACAGTTTCACCAGCATGCACCACACCACAACACTGTTTTAATGAAATGAGGAAGTATTGGATATTAAGGATGGATGAATGGATGTGAGGAAGGGGATGAACATTTGGGAGGAAGTTGTCCAGATACATTGGTCTGGGATGGATAGAAGGATATATTGAAGGCTGTGGAGGAGGAGATTGTGTGGGAGATCTGTCTCGGGAATTGAGTCACCCGAGCCAATTCCATCTCCCTAAAACAGCCAGATTTAAATGGAGCAGAGATGAGTGTGACAGAGATCCTTAACATTGCTGTGAATGAAGGAGCATTGCGCCTGAGATGACAAGCAACCGTGGACATGAATGGTTTGATCTGAGATGCCACTGGCTGCTGTGGAAGCTGCACCAGTGAAGAAAGAATGGCTGAAAAAGTGATCTGAAGATATGCCAGAATTGTGGAGGACATGGTGAAAATGCTTGTGAGACCAGAGTCAAGCGGCGTATCCTTTCTGTTACAGTGGGAAAGTGGGTCTTGAGGTGAGAGTAGGAAGCTTTCAGGAAGCTGGAAAAAAGTCAGTAATAATTTACTAAAAAGTTAAATCGACCATGGGGTGAGTAGCCTGAACATAGACAATGGACCTCAAAAGGTCTGAAGTGAGGGGCAAGCATTTTGCTATGAGAGTGGGTTCCTGTTTTTGCAAGCATTCGGATTAGCATGGAAAGTGGGAATGGGAGGCTAGAGGACACGCTAACTAGTTTGATGAAAAAGTTGAATCCCCATAAGCAAGTCTCCATGAGTGCGATATGTCTTGAAAAAATTCCAGCCTGTGAGAGAGGCTGAGAGAATGCGTGGGGCCACGCTGTTAAGGAGGCATTAAAAAGGTTTTATTGCTGTGGAGCTAGTTGGGACTGGTATGGGATAAATGTCCAGTTCTGGGACCAAGAGTCTGAATATCTGAAATGAGAAGCAGGAAAGAAAACCTATATGAAATTTATCTTTCATCTGAACACACACACACGAAAACACAAAACTGAGATTATAAAAGATGGAAGAAACTCTAAAAATTGGCCATTGATGTGAGTGTGTGTGTGTGTGTGTGTGTGTGTGTGTGAATGGTTGTTTGTCTATGTGTCTGCCCTGCAATGAACTGCCGGCTTGTCCAGGGTGTACCCCGCGTCTCACCCAATGTCATAGTAACATGAGCATTAATTCACAGAATTAACCTTGTTTGCCATACCAACACTGCCATCTACTGATCAATCAACAGAAATCTCTGTGTCGCCATAATGAATGTGTGTAATGTATTATACTATTATACTATATTATGCAGAGCAAAATTATGTTGTTTAACACTTACCAGTAGTGTTAAAATGTATATGACAGTTAAAGTAGTTAAGATTCTCAAATTAAATGATCTGCTGAAAAAGCTGTTGGTTAAACTGTTTTCCTTGATTGTTCTTACAATCACTGTTATTATCATGTTTTACATCAGTGATGTATGATGTGATGTATTAAAATCACTAGTTTTAAGCAGTAAAACCTTCATCCATACCCAAAACTTGTTGACAAGAAGATTTTCACCATCATCTTAGCTTTAGGTTGGCCCTCACACTCTTTGAGCTCTTTTGTAGCCTAACACATACTCCAGCAACTTTTCTCAGAGAAATAGTTAGTCAGAGATATTTTATTTGTCAATCAGGAGAGCAACTCATCCTCCTGATTGACAAATAAAATATCTCTGAAAAGAAGCATAATCTGTGTTCTAACGCAACGAAGGTTAGAACAAAAGAAACATCCGCATCTTCCTGAGAACTGTGTCCACACGGTCTTGACCCAGGTCTCAGCCCTGTTAGTTTTAGGTTGGATATTAGACAGACATTCACTCAGAGTCCAGTGGCGTCTTCTTACTCAGTATCCCCCAGTGTTAGCATTATATCCTAAGCCTGCTACAATTCGGCACAGGTTTAGAGTCCCTGTGTCATATAACATGTAAGTTTTTAATATAAAATACAATATGCACTCAAATGTAACATGAAGCCGACCTGAAGTGGTATTCCGGAAAGTTTTTCTAGCTGGAGGTTTGAAATTTCCCAGTTCCGAGTTGCCTGGAACACAGCATAAGTGCTCAAACAGAACTACCATTCACACATATTCACACCAATTGGGGGCAATTTGGGGTTCAGTGTCTTGCCCAAGAACACTTCAACACACAGTCTGGAGGAGCTGGGGGATTGAACCGCCGATCTTCCAATTAGCGGGCAACCTGCTACACCTCCTGCCACGGCTGCGGCGCTAGGAACAACCCAGAAACAAGAAATACATGTAATCCAACCTCTACTCTGGCACACACCATACAGAACAATCAACACAAAGACTGAAAGACCGACAACCACTTAAATACACAGGTGAAGAAACTAATCACAGACAGGTCAAACTACTAAGAGAATCAATGAGACAAAGAGGCAGACCAAACTACAAAGTAAAACGGGAACATGACGAATGAACAAATGACAAAAGGAATACACACTCAAGAGACAAGAAAACACAGAAGCAGGAAATGAACACAAAAGAAAAGCTTGCCTACAAAACCACCAAACACCACAAAAAAACAAAACCATGACAGTTTCTCCTACATCTGTTTGAGTTTTGGTTCAAGTAGTTGAGGTTGCCCATTTACTAACACTTTTGATTACATTAAATTACATTAAATGGCATTTACTTTTACACAGATGGATACAATTTTCCCACAAGACCAAATACAGGGGGTCTGCGTGAGGAAGAAGGGGAAAAGGATAGACTAGAAGGAAAGGCCAGCTGTGAGTGTGTCGTGCAAAATTGTCCTCATGCATGGAGGATAGGAAACCTAAGATCGATCCAGAGTTGAAGAGATCTTGTTAGGGCAGCTTGAGTGGAGCTGCCCATGAGGCCAATCTATGTGCACCACAGAGTGCAAACGGCTCTGCCAGAATGTTCGGCCATGGTCTGACTGCTGTAATATAATGGCTTGAGGTGAATCGCTTTCAAACAGATCATTTCCTGAACCGGATGGATTGATCTGCAGTTCGGGATTCACGGTGAGTTGATTATTTGGTGTAATCACAGGTAGCTGTTAGCCTTACTTTCTAGATTTATGCAAGCTTGCAATTGTGCATGAAGCATGGTCTGTCATAAAAAAAAGAGAAACAGGACAGGATGGGTTGACCAGGTACAAATGGGCTTGACTTGTGGTTAGAGGTGTGGTTTAGGCATGGTCATGCTAGGCATGGTATTCGTCAATACCAGGTGGATTACTTGAAAGTACACCAACAGCTGCACATCCATCCATCAGTCCGTTAGGCTCCTGAAGTTTGCGGATGAAACCACACTCAGTGGGCTCATCTCCGGTGGAGATGAGTCACCCTGCAGGTGGGAGATTGACCATCTTGTGACCTGGGACTCAATGCTCTGTGGATTTCAGAAAGAGCCCATTTGTGCTTCTTGTTTATTATTCTTTATATGGTCTACTTACTGTGTTTATTGTTATCTACAAATAAACCAGATTCTGATTCTTATGTTCTCTGTTTGATTTAATCCAATTTTGAACATGCTATTTAACACAATCTGAACATAGTAAAGCCCATAGATCTGTAGCTTGGTGAAAATGTTCCTACCAAACATAAGAGATCGATCTTTCTCGTTATCATGTTAATAAAATGTGTAATTTGCTAAAGTTTTCTGCCCTTCCATTACAGTGAAACAGCACATTTTCGAGTGGCCTTTTATTGTGGCCAGCCTAAGGCACACCAGTGCAATACCCATGCTGTCTGATCAGCATCTGGATATGCGAAACCTGTGAGGTGGATGGATTATCTCAACAAAGGACAAGTGCTCACTAACACAGATTTTGACAGATTTGTGAACAATATTTAATAGAAATAGGCCCTTTGTGTACATAGAGAAAGTCGAAGTAGGTGAAGTAGATGTTTGACTTCAGCTCATGATGAATGGGGGGAGAAACAAAAGTTTTGCATTTATAATTTTATTCAGTGTATATATAGCAGATAGCTGAACAATAATAAGCGTTGGCTTTCTTTGTCCCAGTGAATCATGGGTTTTTTAACATGTAATGAGAAATGTGTCATAATATTGGAAGGCAGAGGGGAAATAGCTCAAGCATTATTACCTGTTCCCTGGGTACACAATACAGGTAATAACTTGTCCAGGCAAAATTCTTCCACAGCTGATAACATCTCCACTCCCCTTTCAGACCTTAAGAAAAACCGCCTACATCGGAAAGCTGTTTGTGGAGTATCTGTGCACTTAACATAGCGTTTCCCCCATGAAACTAGCACTCTGGGCTTGAGCACCACACTCTGCAACTGGATATTGAACTTCCTCACAAACAGACCCCAGATATTTTAGACTGGCAGTCACCCCTCCTCCACTCTAGTGCGCAACACTGGAACCCCCAGGGCTGTTTGCTCAGCCCCCTCCTGTTCACGCTGTACACCCATGACTAAGTAAATAAAGACACACAATCCTGTCTAAATCAGCTGAGGTGGAACAGATGAACAGTTTTAGGTTCCTCGGAATCTGTCAGAAAACCTGATCTCCACCCTGATAAAGAAAGCTCACAAACAGTTGCTCCAATACCTTTGGTACCAATCTAGCTAGCATCAGTGATATTGGTGAGGTGCTCAAGGGATACTAAAGGACAGTATATCCACCCCAGCCACAGCCTGTTCACCCTGCTGACAAAAGATAGACCTGCTGTTGCACCACCAGTGTAGCTTCTTTCCCCAGGTTGTGAGAATCATCGTCATAAGTTTATAATTTGTTTTGTACGTAATGTTTGCTTTTGTGAGTAACACAAAGGGAACTACAAACTTCACCTTACGATACAACCCTGTTGTAAAATGACAAATGTACCTTGTACCTATAATGTCAGACTTTGCATGAGAAGTATTTTATTGCCATTTGTATTGTACTGAAAGACAGCTAGAAGCAGCAGAAAGGAGAACAGATTAAAATTTTGACTGTGACTGCATGATTAGCAGATGGAGATTGTGGCAAGAATCATTGGTTTGCCAGAGATTGAACAACCCTGATCAGCTGATTGAAAGGCAGGAAGAGAAGCATGAAGCATAGAGATAGTCTTCCTGGCAGAAAGTGACGCTGAGCATCATTTAGCTGATGGGAGACAACAATCTCATTATCACATATTTTTCTGTGTGTGTAATCTGGGGAGAAGCTAAACACCCAAAAACACATGGCTAGGCTCTGTACATATGTGTATTATCCTTGACTTCTCTAGCCTACTGTTTTTAGTGCCCTGCTTTAGGCAGAACACCACCTGTGGAAAGATTTAAATAATGTGTCTTTATTTTAAAAATATGTATCTTCAGTTCAGACAAGAAAACATTGAGCCACTTTTTGATAACTTTGTCTGTCCCAAAGCAGTGACAGAAATTCTCCTTCGACAAGGCTCATTAAAAACACACACTTAAAACCTACATAAAACAGCAGCTGTACAATGTCTAAACATTACATTTTCTTAAAAGAGAACAGAGGGTTTGGAGCCATTAAATTACATGAAATAAATTACATGAAATTTTCCTTTAATTGATTTTCATGATGAAAATACACAAAATATTGTATATTATGTAATCTTGAGTTCAATGAAAATATAAGATAAGTCTTTCACACTAAATAATCTTTGGGTTTCTTTGTCACAGTGACTCATGGAATTTTCTATGATGAGAGATATGTCACATGCCAGAGGGTAAAAGACCTCAAGCATTACTACTTCTGTTCCCTGATTTCACAATGCCATATATAAGTTATTCAGGCAAAAATACAAAAAATGTACATATTTAATGGGAGACAACAATCTCATTAGCATATATCTTACGATATGTCAGGCACAGCAAGTATACCTACTAATGTGTGTGTTGAGTGTGTGAGTGCAATCTAGCGAGAAGCAACACAAAAGATTTGATTTTCAGTTTGAAGTTCACACTGGAAGAGAAAAAGGACTGACGCAATTCAGTCCACAGCACCTACAGGATACAGAGATCAAATGTCAAGATAATGTGTGCAAGATGACATTAAAGTTTCTTAAAAGACATTCTGAGGGATTGGTACCACAAACATTAAATTACATAGACAAAATATTGTATGTTATGTAATTTGTATCAGTGGCAATATGAGAGATGCAACAGATATCTACATTTTTATTTACAAATATTACACATGTTTAAATCAGTCCATTTCAGGCTGTTGCTGTCACGGAATGGTAGTGAAGGTAGAGTTGAGCAGGTTGGAGGACCCAAATGCAGGACGCAAGGCAAAGGAGGTACAGTTCAAGGGGTTTTAATAAACAAAGGCAAGCACACTTACAAACTGAGTGGCTGATGACAGAGTCCAAAACAAAGTAATCCAAACGAGAAAACCAGAATCCAAAATCAGCAGGGAAACACAGAGACACGATGAGTAGGTAGTAGGTAACACACTGTAACACTGGGTGACAATAAACAATGACCCAACAAGAACAAGACAGAAACACCAGGTATATACACACAGGGACTAACGAGCAGGGCGGGGGCAACACAGGTGACAGACATGAGACTAACGAAGCAGGCAGAGGGAAACAGAGAGACTGACATGCAGGCAGAGTGACAACCGGGGGAACAGACGGAACACAGGTCACTGAACACAAAACAGACCAGAGTGAACACTTAACATGAACTAAGGTACAGGACTAGGAACAAGGACAAAGAACTAAAACGCAGGAACAAGAGTTAAGGCAGTGACTAAGAAACAATATAACAACTAGACTACCAAACCAAAGCAATATCAAATCAACACAGGACTACGAGCTAGAACACCAGACAAGACATAAACACTAAGGACAAGGAAACGAGAAGAACAGGTAAACAGAAGGACACCAGAAACAAATGGCAAAAACTCAAACTCACTGGGAAAAACTACAACTCATGACAGTTGCTCACTCTGGAGTCTCTGCCTCGGATTCCTGCTGTCCATGGAGAGCTGTGAGCCTCCTGTCTCTCTCTGACATCTGATTAAACAAGTTTCTATGAATGTTATTTTAATGTAATTTATTAATAAGTATTCCTAACTTTCTTTCCTAACTTTTTAATGTGGGCCATGATGAACCTTCTAAACTTCCTTGTGGCAAAAAAATAAACAACAGGATCCAAAATGCAGTTGAGGCCCATAAGAACCAAGGTGATCTGATGTGCGTCGTTGAGCATCTGATGTGTCTTCTGGTCCCACTTTACATGGCCCCAGCCCTCTTTGATCTGCAACACAGCCAGTGTCCATGGGCCTTGTATTATATGGTGGGGAAGGAAACACAGAACAAACACTCCCACCACTGCCAACAACATCTGCACAGCCCTCCGTTTCACCCCCCTGGGCCTTTTAGTTGAGGAGGACATGGTCCTGGTGGACTGAACAGAATTAAGTGTTGCAGACCTGCTGACTTCTGACTGAGCAGGACTTTGAGAAAGTAACGCTCGAACAATAAGGAAGTTACACACCAAGACAAGAAAAAAGACAAGAAAAAACATTCCAATTATTGCAAAATGAGTACCGGCCAATAATATCTTCTGGAAATCAGTTTCATTTTGGTACCCCTCAAAACAGCGAGTGACGTTGTTCTTGTTGGTCCTTGGAGATGTCAGAAATGGAACAGCCATCGACATGGCCAACACCCAGATGACAACGCACACGATGATCCCACGACGCCTGTGGTCTGAAGAGGCCGCATCCAGAGGCCGGGTGACTGCCCAGTATCGGTTGACGCTGATGGCTCCGAGGAAGAGGATGGAGCAATAGGTGTTGATGAAGAAGAATGAGCCAGTCAGCCGACACATAAAATCTGAGTAGACCCAGTTGCCGTGGTGACTATAATAGCCAATCCAGAAGGGAAGGGCACACACAAAAAGGAGATCAGCGATGGTCAAGTTAGTCATATAGATGCGGATTTCGCCCATGGCCCTAGCCTCACGGAGGCAGCGCAGGACAAACAGCACATAAAGGTTGGCGAAGAGGCCCAGGATGAAGATGATGCCATAGACAACTGGGAAGAGGACATAACGAAACTCAGAGTCCAGGAAGGTTGAGTCGTTATGGGCTTCGAAACCCAGACCAGATGTTCCTGTTAGAGTAACTTGTTCTGGAGTTGAGGTCAGCATTTCTGTCTGTTGGAGACAAAACATATCAACATCAGTATAATGTCATTCTGGTGCTTCTTTCAGTCAAAAGAAGTAGAGCAATACAAGGCTCCCATCTGCCCCCATAAAGAAGTCCAGTGGCTGCAGGGCATTTTTCTATCATGCCACCTTCCTCTGAAATAACCTCCCTGTTGGTATCAGACAGTCTGAATCTATTAAGACCTTTAAATCCAAACTTAAAACTAATTTTTTCACCTTAACTTTCAGCTAGTTGCTTACTTTTGATTACCTTATATCTGTTACCAATATCCTTCCAGCGGGTAGGTCTCAATGAATCTATTAAGCTCAGTTCTTATAGTCCCTGTATGTCCTGCCGACAAGAATATTGCACACTTTCTGAAAACCACTGCCTCGACTTACCAGAATGCTTCTTCTCCCCTTTTGTCTCTCAGGGTTTGAATGCTGTGAATGCCTCAGTAATTATGAACAGACAGTTAAACTGACTGAATGGGTATGTTTGTGTTTTAAAGTGGGAGTGCATCAAAGGTCAAGAACAAAGAGGTGTGAATTCGTAGGAAAAACCCATCTGGTGCATGACGCATATCTACTTCTTTACATGAAAGTTATCAGTCATCTTTGGATATCTATTTCTGTATCTTCACATGTTTGTTCCTGTCCTTAAAAAGAAAGCTTTGATTTTATTTCCTTGTTTATAGCAATAGCCTATATTTTAATTGTTCAAGTAGAGACATGACAGCGGTGTATAAGGACCATTGTACATTAAATATTAAATAAATGATGGAGCTGGTGTCAAGAGGGGTAAAATTCTGAGATTACAGTTGTAAAAATTAGAAAAAAAAAAAAATTCTCTGGGATTAGAGTGACAAATTTACAAGGAAAACTCAACAGTGTTTTTCGAGTTGTTTTCAGTCTAATAATACAAGAAGAGTCTGTGCAGACATAAGAGAATCAGTATTGCTTTTATTGGTCAAGTATGTGAGGAATTTGATTCCGGTCTTACATCTTACATCTCAAGGTACACACACAGAACAAGCATAAACAAACAGGACAACAAACAGACACAAACTACCACGTACAGATACACACAAACATAAACAAAAACAACATTTGTAGACATCAAGCCAATAGTCCAATGGAGCAGAGTGCAACGGTATTTTACTGTACATGAGGTAGGTGGATATGATATAGAGAATATACAAGATGTGCAGCAGTTGTAGCTCTCAGGCAGTTAGTCAGATATGAAGGACTGCAACAAAGCCACTTGAAAGCATGTGGCACATCTTCATTTGTCATTTCTACATGTCTGCAGTTCTTCCTAAATGTTTTATGCTTTTGGTCTTTGGACAGAATGAAGTATAATACTGGTTGGTGAAGGTAGCTTAAGTGATGGCTGATTGTTTTTAACACCCTGCTTTTAACAGACAACGCCTTTATTAACAACACAAACATAGATTCTGATAAAGGAAGGCACAGTATTAGAGCTAGAGGAATTAGGAATTGACAATTAGACCTACTTCTTGTCATTCCAAACTTTTCAGCAGTAAAAAGACCCAGAGAAGACTGATTTCTCTTTCACCTAAGCAAAATGATTTCTTTTAGAAAAAGTCTATATGCCCTGATATGATCCTTAATCATCAGGCACCTTGCACAATAACTGACAGCGTGACTGTGGGGGGGAGGGGGTTTAGTCAGTGCTGCTACCCAGCAGTGTTATTTAAGCAATAGCTCACGACAGGCCGTGGTATACACTTATTATATCACAGTTAAGGGGCGTTGTTTTATAAAATGGTTACCAAGTGTGGCAAAAAGTAAGTAGGCTAACAGACGCACTACAATTTGACTTTGTTTTATTTCATCAACAGACATTTCTTTATGAATACAAAAAGTAGTTCCACCAGGCTGCCGGTGGGCTATGACGGTTGCTAAGCAACATACATCAAAGGCGAGAATTATGAGAACTATTTATTTATGCATGTATTGTGCAGCCACTAAAAACTGCAGCTGCACATCCATCCATCAGTCCGTTAGGCTCCTGAAGTTTGTGGCTTGACGCTCTGTGGATTTCAGAAAGAGCCCATTTGTACTTCTTGTTTATTATTCTTTATATTTTCTACTTACTGTGTTTATTGTTATCTACAAATAAACCAGATTCTGATTCTGAATTATGTTCTCTGTTTGATTTAATCTAATTTTGAACACGCTATTTAACATAATCTGAACATAGTAAAGCACACAGATCTGTAGTTCTAGCTTGGTGAAAATGTTCCTACCAAACATAAGAGACCAATCTTTCTCGTTGTTATTATCATGTTAATAAAATGTGTAATTTGCTATAGTTTTCTATGTTTCAAATGGCATGTACTGATGTCTCCATGCTTTTTTATATGTCTTTACATAACTTTTTTATTTACTTTAAGCATCACGATGCAGCCACACTGGACACATTTCGAGTACAATACATGGTACCAAAAGCTGTACCACTGAATCAAAAATGCATCATAAATCTGTTTTGCAACAGCAGGTAAGCTCACTGTAAATACAAAAATACAGCCTTGTACATACACTGAACAAAATTACAAATGCAGCACTTTTGATTTTGCCCCCATTCATTGTGAGCTGAACTCAAAGATCTAATATTTTCTCTATGTACACAAAATGCCTATTTCTCTCAAATATTGTTCACAAATCTGTCAAAATCTGTGTTAATGAGCACTTCTCCTTTGCCGAGATAATCCATCCACCTCACAGGTTGGTATATCAAGATGCTGATCAGACAGCATGGGTATGTACCTTGTACCTATAATGTCAATCAACAGAGACTCTTTTTGCGTGACCAATAATAATTTATTGTTATTTGTATTGTACTGAAAGACAGCTAGAAGCAGCAGAAAGGAGAACAGATTAAAATTTTGACTGTGACTGCATGATTAGCAGATGGAGATTGTGGCAAGAATCATTGGTTTGCCAAAGACTGAACATCCCTGATCAGCTGATTGAAAGGCAGGAAGAGAAGCATGAAGCATAGAGATAGTCTTCCTGGCAGAAAGTGACGCTGAGCATCATTTAGCTGATGGGAGACAACAATCTCATTATCACATATTTTTCTGTGTGTGTAATCTGGGGAGAAGCTAAATACCCAAAAACACATGGCTAGGCTCTGTACATATGTGTATTATCCTTGACTTCTCTAGCCTACTGTTTTTAATGCCCTGCTTTAGGCAGAACACCACCTGTGGAAAGATTTAAATAATGTGTCTTTATTTTAAAAATATGTATCTTCAGTTCAGAAGAAAAAATTAAAGCACTTTTTTTGATAACTTTCTTGTCTGTCCCAAAGCAGTGACAGAAATTCTCCTTCGACAAGGTTCATTAAAAACACAATTAAATTAAAATGCACATTTAAAACCTACATAAAAACAGCAGCTGTACAATGTCTATTGCTATGTCTAAACATTACATTTTCTTAAAAGAGAACAGAGGGTTTGGAGCCATTAAATTACATGAAATTTTCCTTTAATTGATTTTCATGATGAAAATACACAAAATATTGTATATTATGTAATCTTGAGTTCAATGAAAATATAAGACAAGTCTTTCACACTAAATAATAATAAGCTTTGGGTTTCTTTGTCACAGTGAATCATGGAATTTTCTATGATGAGAGATATGTCACATGCCAGAGGGGAAAAGACCTCAAGCATTATTACTTCTGTTCCCTGTTTTCACAATGCCATCTATAAGTTGTTCAGGCAAAAATACAAAAAATCTGTAACGTATATAATGGGAGACAACAATCTCATTAGCATATATCTTACTGATATAATGTCAGGCACAGCAAGTATACCTACTAATGTGTGTGTTGAGTGTGTGAGTGCAATCTAGCGAGAAGCTCCACTGTTGTCACACCAAAGAACAGATGGCAACACAAAAGATTTGATTTTCAGTTTGAAGTTCACACTGGAAGAGAAAAAGGACTGACGCAATTCAGTCCACAGCACCTACAGGATACAAAGATCAAATGTCAAGATAATGTGTGCAAGACGACATTAAAGTTTCTTAAAAGACATTCTGAGGGATTGGTACCACCAACATTAAATTACATAGACAAAATATTGTATGTTATGTAATTTGTATCAGTGGCAATATGAGAGATGCAACAGATATCTACATTTTTATTTACAAATATTACACATGTTTAAATCAGTCCATTTCAGGCTGTTGCTCACTCTGGAGTCTCTGCCTCGGATTCCTGCTGTCCATGGAGAGCTGTGAGCCTCCTGTCTCTCTCTGACATCTGATTAAACAAGTTTCTATGAATGTTATTTTAATGTAATTTATTAATAAGTATTCCTAACTTTCTTTCCTAACTTTTTAATGTGGGCCATGATGAACCTTCTAAACTTCCTTGTGGCAAAAAAATAAACAACAGGATCCAAAATGCAGTTGAGGCCCATAAGAACCAAGGTGATCTGATGTGCGTCGTTGAGCATCTGATGTGTCTTCTGGTCCCACTTTACATGGCCCCAGCCCTCTTTGATCTGCAACGCCGCCAGTGTCCATGGGCCTTGTATTATATGGTGGGGAAGGAAACACAGAACAAACACTCCCACCACTGCCAACAACATCTGCACAGCCCTCCGTTTCACCCCCCTGGGCCTTTTAGTTGAGGAGGACATGGTCCTGGTGGACTGAACAGAATTAAGTGTTGCAGACCTGCTGACTTCTGACTGAGCAGGACTTTGAGAAAGTAACGCTCGAACAATAAGGAAGTTACACACCAAGACAAGAAAAAAGACAAGAAAAAACATTCCAATTATTGCAAAATGAGTAGCCAATATTTTATTCTGGGAATCAGTTTCATTTTGGTACCCCTCAAAACAGCGAGTGACGTTGTTCTTGTCGGTCCCTGGAGATCCGAGAGTCAGAAATGGAATAGCCATCGACATGGCCAACACCCAGATGACAACGCACACGACGATCCCACGACGCCTGTGGTCTGAAGAGGCCGCATCCAGAGGCCGGATGACTGCCCAGTATCGGTTGACGCTGATGGCTCCGAGGAAGAGGATGGAGCAATAGGTGTTGATGAAGAAGAATGAGCCAGTCAGCCGACACATAAAATCTGAGTAGACCCAGTTGCCGTGGTGACTATAATAGCCAATCCAGAAGGGAAGGGCACACACAAAAAGGAGATCAGCGATGGTCAAGTTAGTCATATAGATGCGGATTTCGCCCATGGCCCTAGCCTCACGGAGGCAGCGCAGGACATACAGCACATAAAGGTTGGCGAAGAGGCCCAGGATGAAGATGATGCCATAGACAACTGGGAAGAGGACATAACGAAACTCAGAGTCCAGGAAGGTTGAGTCATTATGGGCTTCGAAACCCAGACCAGATGTTACAGTAACTCGTTCTGAAGTTGAGGTCAGCATTTCTGCCTGTTGGAGACAAAACATATCAACATCAGTGTAATGTCCCCAGCATAAAGCATTCTGGTGCTTTGTTCAGTCAAAAGAAGTAGAACAATACAAGGCTCCTGTCTGCCCCCATAAAGCTATCCAGTGGTAGATCTCCAAAAGGTCAAGAACAAGGAGGTGTGAACTTTGGAAAAATCCATCTGGTGCATGACGCATATCTACTTCTTTGCGTGAAAGTTCTCAGTCATACGGTTAACCCTCTTTGGATATTTATTTCTGTATCTTCACATGTTTGTTCCTGTCCTTAAATGAAAGTTGTGATTTTATTTCCTTGTTTATAGCAATAGCCTATATTTTAATTGTTCAAGTGGAGACATGACATCGGCGCATTAGCAACAGACAACGCCTTTATTAACAACACAAGCATATATTCTGATAAAGGAAGGCACAGTATTAGAGCAAGAGGAATTAGGAATTGACAATTAGGCCTACTTCTTGTCATTCCAAACTTTTCATCATAAGCCAACATATTTCTTTTAGAAAAAGGCTAAATGCCCTTATATAATACCTCATGCACCTTGTGCAATAACTTGGGGGAGAGGGTATGGAAGATTTTATTGGACTTTAATATCTGTAACCCACAGAAAACAATCCACAAACATGTACTATGATGCGCAAATATTTCACTATCTACAATATGTAATATTGTATATGTATATGTATTTTTACATTTGTGATGTGTAAAATTCTATCTACAAAAAGTGACTTCTACACACAAAACAGTTTTTGCACATTTGCGGATCATTTCCTGTCAATTTACAGGTCACGTTACATTAGAATTTTGTCCATTCTGTACCACAGATATCAGTAAACAGAGATCTGTGCATGTGAGAGCAGTTTATTAGCTACACCAGCAGGTATAGGAGCGTGATTGACCTGTATGTTACTCAATGCTGCTGTCCTGCAGTGTTATTTATTATAATGTATTGCCCCGTTTCCCACTGTGAATATTTTTGCATCTGAAAATGTCAGAGCAGAAACTATTTGATCCTGTGCCCAAAATTTGGATATGTCACGTTTTGAGATTCAATAGAATTTTGCTTCGGATTTATACCACTCCTTATTATAACCATTCTGTATTGTTCTTAAATTATCTAAGAAGACTGGTAGCACAGCTTGCTTGCTCATTGCTTAAGTGCCAGCATATTTGAGAAAAAGTTCTCTAATGACTTAATTTACATTGTGTTAACTTATATAATTTTGTAAATAAGCAAGTTAGACTAATACCTTCTCTCAGCGTAGTTTTGTCCCGACTGGAGAGCAAGCGAACAAAGTCTCCAAATAAGGCAGATAACTCCAAATAACAGCTTTGCTTTCAGTTCCTGAGAGCAAAGCTTTCTTTCCTTACAAGAGCTTCTATCCTGAAGTCTGGACACTGAGTTGAAATGGGGTTCCGGCGGTGTAATCAGCTGCGTCTGCATGGTCCTAAAGCCTTCTGAAAGTTGATCGTCTTATGAATGGTTTCTATTAGAAATAATTTTTATTGATACGCTATACAGTTACGGAGGCCCGGGCCTCAGTGGCCGCAATACTGGCTACGATAATGGCTAGAACATAAATTCGTAATTTAGTCTAGGCTACTAAAAACGAATCCCTGAACTCAACAGGAACTGTTAAGACTGTTTCTCACCTTATTTCTTCAGCTCTGGATCAGTTTTCCTGTTCTGATCTCAACAAGTCTGGGCAAAGTACTGAGTAAACACAGAGGCAGCGTTTTTATGATGTCCTCACCTAAACTTCTCAGTATTTTACAGTATTTTTAAACTTCAAAACGCATAAGTATTTTGATACAAAATATGAAGCTAATTTCATCAAGCCCCAGTGCAAAATATCCTATTTTGTATTTTCAATCCATGTAGCCTATCATAAATACTGCCCATCCCTGACTACATGCAAAATGATTGAATGATTTTAATGCAATTTATTAACACGGGTGTCTTTATTATTAATTATATGATGATGATGCCACAAGACCACAAATCAGACAATAAAAGGATAAAATACTTTCATGATTTTCCTCGAGGTGTGCGCTGTACAGTGAGGAAAAGTCTCAAAACAGATTGAACTGGTTCTTTATTCTGGCTCATGAGCAGCTGAGGCAAGTGTGCAGTAATGCGTTTTGACCACACGGGGGAGGAAGAGGCTAATAAAAAGGGCAAAGTAAATCTCTTGCTTCAATCTGTTAACAGTGTTAGTGATTTTGGGCCTAGGTGAGGCTCAAGGTATAGCATTGTGTGAACTGCATGAACCACCACTCTTAACTCTCTGTGTAGTTCAAAGCAGCATCACTAGTGTACAAGCACACAACACATCCTCCCCTCCCTGGTGCCACAGTGTAATTCCTAGATTAAGGTTAACGAGTCTTCCCAACCTTATTGCTGTTATTATGGCTTGGCGGTGGAACAAGAGAGCAGAGATTTCTGGTGGTTGTGCCCTGCATGTATTGTGCAGCCACTAAAAACTGCAGCTGCACATCCATCCATCAGTCCGTTAGGCTCCTGAAGTTTGTGGCTTGACGCTCTGTGGATTTCAGAAAGAGCCCATTTGTACTTCTTGTTTATTATTCTTTATATTTTCTACTTACTGTGTTTATTGTTATCTACAAATAAACCAGATTCTGATTCTGAATTATGTTCTCTGTTTGATTTAATCTAATTTTGAACACGCTATTTAACATAATCTGAACATAGTAAAGCACACAGATCTGTAGTTCTAGCTTGGTGAAAATGTTCCTACCAAACAGGAGAGACCAATCTTTCTCGTTGTTATTATCATGTTAATAAAATGTGTAATTTGCTATAGTTTTCTATGTTTCAAATGGCATGTACTGATGTCTCCATGCTTTTTTATATGTCTTTACATAACTTTTTTATTTACTTTAAGCATCACGATGCAGCCACACTGGACACATTTCGAGTACAATACATGGTACCAAAAGCTGTACCACTGAATCAAAAATGCATCATAAATCTGTTTTGCAACAGCAGGTAAGCTCACTGTAAATACAAAAATACAGCCTTGTACATACACTGAACAAAATTACAAATGCAGCACTTTTGATTTTGCCCCCATTCATTGTGAGCTGAACTCAAAGATCTAATATTTTCTCTATGTACACAAAATGCCTATTTCTCTCAAATATTGTTCACAAATCTGTCAAAATCTGTGTTAATGAGCACTTCTCCTTTGCCGAGATAATCCATCCACCTCACAGGTTTGTCATATCAAGATGCTGATCAGACAGCATGGGTATGTACCTTGTACCTATAATGTCAATCAACAGAGACTCTTTTTGCGTGACCAATAATAATTTATTGTTATTTGTATTGTACTGAAAGACAGCTAGAAGCAGCAGAAAGGAGAACAGATTAAAATTTTGACTGTGACTGCATGATTAGCAGATGGAGATTGTGGCAAGAATCATTGGTTTGCCAAAGACTGAACATCCCTGATCAGCTGATTGAAAGGCAGGAAGAGAAGCATGAAGCATAGAGATAGTCTTCCTGTCAGAAAGTGACACTGAGCATCATTTAGCTGATGGGAGACAACAATCTCATTATCACATATTTTTCTGTGTGTGTAATCTGGGGAGAAGCTAAATACCCAAAAACACATGGCTAGGCTCTGTACATATGTGTATTATCCTTGACTTCTCTAGCCTACTGTTTTTAATGCCCTGCTTTAGGCAGAACACCACCTGTGGAAAGATTTAAATAATGTGTCTTTATTTTAAAAATATGTATCTTCAGTTCAGAAGAAAAAATTAAAGCACTTTTTTTTGATAACTTTCTTGTCTGTCCCAAAGCAGTGACAGAAATTCTCCTTCGACAAGGTTCATTAAAAACACACACTTAAAATGCACATTTAAAACCTACATAAAAACAGCAGCTGTACAATGTCTATTGCTATGTCTAAACATTACATTTTCTTAAAAGAGAACAGAGGGTTTGGAGCCATTAAATTACATGAAATTTTCCTTTAATTGATTTTCATGATGAAAATACACAAAATATTGTATATTATGTAATCTTGAGTTCAATGAAAATATAAGACAAGTCTTTCACACTAAATAATAATAAGCTTTGGGTTTCTTTGTCACAGTGAATCATGGAATTTTCTATGATGAGAGATATGTCACATGCCAGAGGGGAAAAGACCTCAAGCATTATTACTTCTGTTCCCTGTTTTCACAATGCCATCTATAAGTTGTTCAGGCAAAAATACAAAAAATCTGTAACGTATATAATGGGAGACAACAATCTCATTAGCATATATCTTACTGATATAATGTCAGGCACAGCAAGTATACCTACTAATGTGTGTGTTGAGTGTGTGAGTGCAATCTAGCGAGAAGCTCCACTGTTGTCACACCAAAGAACAGATGGCAACACAAAAGATTTGATTTTCAGTTTGAAGTTCACACTGGAAGAGAAAAAGGACTGACGCAATTCAGTCCACAGCACCTACAGGATACAAAGATCAAATGTCAAGATAATGTGTGCAAGACGACATTAAAGTTTCTTAAAAGACATTCTGAGGGATTGGTACCACCAACATTAAATTACATAGACAAAATATTGTATGTTATGTAATTTGTATCAGTGGCAATATGAGAGATGCAACAGATATCTACATTTTTATTTACAAATATTACACATGTTTAAATCAGTCCATTTCAGGCTGTTGCTCACTCTGGAGTCTCTGCCTCGGATTCCTGCTGTCCATGGAGAGCTGTGAGCCTCCTGTCTCTCTCTAACATCTGATTAAACAAGTTTCTATGAATGTTATTTTAATGTAATTTATTAATAAGTATTCCTAACTTTCTTTCCTAACTTTTTAATGTGGGCCATGATGAACCTTCTAAACTTCCTTGTGGCAAAAAAATAAACAACAGGATCCAAAATACAGTTGAGGCCCATAAGAACCAAGGTGATCTGATGTGCGTCGTTGAGCATCTGATGTGTCTTCTGGTCCCACTTTACATGGCCCCAGCCCTCTTTGATCTGCAACACAGCCAGTGTCCATGGGCCTTGTATTATATGGTGGGGAAGGAAACACAGAACAAACACTCCCACCACTGCCAACAACATCTGCACAGCCCTCCGTTTCACCCCCCTGGGCCTTTTAGTTGAGGAGGACATGGTCCTGGTGGACTTCATAGAATTAAGTGTTGCAGACATGCTGATTTCTGACTGAGCAGGACTTTGAGAAAGTAACGCTCGAACAATAAGGAAGTTACACACCACGACAAGAAAAAAGACAAGAAAAAACATTCCAATTATTGCAAAATGAGTACCGGCCAATAATATCTTCTGGGAAGTTTCATTTTGGTACCCCTCAAAACAGCGAGTGACGTTGTTCTTTTTGGTCCCTGGAGATCCGAGAGTCAGAAATGGAATAGCCATCGACATGGTCAACACCCAGATGACAACGCACACGATGATCCCACGACGCCTGTGGTCTGAAGAGGCCGCATCCAGAGGCCGGGTGACTGCCCAGTATCGGTTGACGCTGATGGCTCCGAGGAAGAGGATGGAGCAATAGGTGTTGATGAAGAAGAATGAGCCAGTCAGCCAACACATAAAATCTGAGTAGACCCAGTTGCCGTGGCGACTATAATAGCCAATCCAGAAGGGAAGGGCACACACAAAAAGGAGATCAGCGATGGTCAAGTTAGTCATATAGATGCGGATTTCGCCCATGGCCCTAGCCTCACGGAGGCAGCGCAGGACAAACAGCACATAAAGGTTGGCGAAGAGGCCCAGGATGAAGATGATGCCATAGACAACTGGGAAGAGGACATAACGAAACTCAGAGTCCAGGAAGGTTGAGTCGTTATGGGCTTCAGAACCCAGACCAGATGTTACAGTAACTTGTTCTGAAGTTGAGGTCAGCATTTCTGCCTGTTGGAGACAAAACATATCAACATCAGTGTAATGTCCCCAGCATAAAGCATTCTGGTGCTTTTTTCAGTCAAAAGAAGTAGAACAATACAAGGCTCCTGTCTGCCCCATAAAGCTATCCAGTGGTAGATCTCCAAAAGGTCAAGAACAAGGAGGTGTGAACTTTGGAAAAATCCATCTGGTGCATGACGCATATCTACTTCTTTGCGTGAAAGTTCTCAGTCATACGGTTAACCCTCTTTGGATATTTATTTCTGTATCTTCACATGTTTGTTCCTGTCCTTAAATGAAAGCTGTGATTTTATTTCCTTGTTTATAGCAATAGCCTATATTTTAATTGTTGTGGAGTGTGGAGACATGACATCGGCACAAGCATATATTCTGATAAAGGAAGGCACAGTATTAGAGCAAGAGGAATTAGGAATTGACAATTAGGCCTACTTCTTGTCATTCCAAACTTATCATCATAAGCCAACATATTTCTTTTAGAAAAAGGCTAAATGCCAAAATGTCAGAGCAGAAACTATTTGATCCTGTGCCCAAAATTTGGATGTCACGTTTTGAGATTCAATAGAATTTTGCTTCGGATTTATACCGCTCCTTATTATAACCATTCTGTATTGTTCTTAAATTATCTAAGAAGACTGGTAGCACAGCTTGCTTGCTCATTGCTTAAGTGCCAGCATATTTGAGAAAAAGTTCTCTAATGACTTAATTTACATTGTGTTAACTTATATAATTTTGTAAATAAGCAAGTTAGACTAATACCTTCTCTCAGCGTAGTTTTGTCCCGACTGGAGAGCAAGCGAACAAAGTCTCCAAATAAGGCAGATAACTCCAAATAACAGCTTTGCTTTCAGTTCCTGAGAGCAAAGCTTTCTTTCCTTACAAGAGCTTCTATCCTGAAGTCTGGACACTGAGTTGAAATGGGGTTCCGGCGGTGTAATCAGCTGCGTCTGCATGGTCCTAAAGCCTTCTGAAAGTTGATCGTCTTATGAATGGTTTCTATTAGAAATAATTTTTATTGATACGCTATACAGTTACGGAGGCCCGGGCCTCAGTGGCCGCAATACTGGCTACGATAATGGCTAGAACATAAATTCGTAATTTAGTCTAGGCTACTAAAAACGAATCCCTGAACTCAACAGGAACTGTTAAGACTGTTTCTCACCTTATTTCTTCAGCTCTGGATCAGTTTTCCTGTTCTGATCTCAACAAGTCTGGGAAAAGTACTGAGTAAACACAGAGGCAGCGTTTTTATGATGTCCTCACCTAAACTTCTCAGTATTTTACAGTATTTTTAAACTTCAAAACGCATAAGTATTTTGATACAAAATATGAAGCTAATTTCATCAAGCCCCAGTGCAAAATATCCTGTTTTGTATTTTCAATCCATGTAGCCTATCATAAATACTGCCCATCCCTGACTACATGCAAAATGATTGAATGATTTTTATGCAATTTATTAACACGGGTGTCTTTATTATTAATTATATGATGATGATGCCACAAGACCACAAATCAGACAATAAAAGGATAAAATACTTTCATGATTTTCCTCGAGGTAGTTTTGTCCCGACTGGAGAGCAAGCGAACAAAGTCTCCAAATAAGGCAGATAACTCCAAATAACAGCTTTGCTTTCAGTTCCTGAGAGCAAAGCTTTCTTTCCTTACAAGAGCTTCTATCCTGAAGTCTGGACACTGAGTTGAAATGGGGTTCCGGCGGTGTAATCAGCTGCGTCTGCATGGTCCTAAAGCCTTCTGAAAGTTGATCGTCTTATGAATGGTTTCTATTAGAAATAATTTTTATTGATACGCTATACAGTTACGGAGGCCCGGGCCTCAGTGGCCGCAATACTGGCTACGATAATGGCTAGAACATAAATTCGTAATTTAGTCTAGGCTACTAAAAACGAATCCCTGAACTCAACAGGAACTGTTAAGACTGTTTCTCACCTTATTTCTTCAGCTCTGGATCAGTTTTCCTGTTCTGATCTCAACAAGTCTGGGCAAAGTACTGAGTAAACACAGAGGCAGCGTTTTTATGATGTCCTCACCTAATCAAGCCCCAGTGCAAAATATCCTATTTTGTATTTTCAATCCATGTAGCCTATCATAAATACTGCCCATCCCTGACTACATGCAAAATGATTGAATGATTTTAATGCAATTTATTAACACGGGTGTCTTTATTATTAATTATATGATGATGATGCCACAAGACCACAAATCAGACAATAAAAGGATAAAATACTTTCATGATTTTCCTCGAGGTGTGCGCTGTACAGTGAGGAAAAGTCTCAAAACAGATTGAACTGGTTCTTTATTCTGGCTCATGAGCAGCTGAGGCAAGTGTGCAGTAATGCGTTTTGACCACACGGGGGAGGAAGAGGCTAATAAAAAGGGCAAAGTAAATCTCTTGCTTCAATCTGTTAACAGTGTTAGTGATTTTGGGCCTAGGTGAGGCTCAAGGTATAGCATTGTGTGAACTGCATGAACCACCACTCTTAACTCTCTGTGTAGTTCAAAGCAGCATCACTAGTGTACAAGCACACAACACATCCTCCCCTCCCTGGTGCCACAGTGTAATTCCTAGATTAAGGTTAACGAGTCTTCCCAACCTTATTGCTGTTATTATGGCTTGGCGGTGGAACAAGAGAGCAGAGATTTCTGGTGGTTGTGCCCTGCATGACTGCCAGACTTGCTGTGCCATTGCTGGGTATACAAAAAAATTCTTGTTGATCGTGGTTTGGGTGTGGATTCAAGATATCCCACAGTTGGCGAGTGAGATTTGTCTTGGTCATGAAACGGAGAGCAGCTTATGTGAGAAATTAGTTATTCTTATTGAAGTCATGTGACTTTGTGTATGTTCGAAAAAATGAGTAGTGTATTAGCATACTTCCAAGCATGCTTTGTCTGAGGGTTAGAACTCTCCAGAGATCATTCTTTGTTGTGGTTAAAAAAACATACATGATGGAAACTTGCTGTGTCTTTTAATACAGGGATGGACAAAGATCTTTGTTACAAACTACAAAATATCCCTCAAATCAATGTGTCAAAATAAAATATAAAATGCTGGTGCCAGAAGTTGTATCAAGATTAAAAACGTGTATTTTGGATTTAGTAAAATACAGGAAAACACATTTGTGGACAATCTGAATTTTTACAAAATGGCAAAACATTCAGATTTTGCTAATGTGCAAGGCTGATGAGAGTTTGAACCATACTGGAAGGAAGAGCACAAAGTAGAATGCTACTGTATCTAAGCAAAACTGTAAAAACAACAACAACAACAAAAAGACTGAAGCCAGTCTTGTACAGTAGGCCTAGGTAGAAACTTTCTGTCCAATTCAAAGACATGGCTGTTGAGACCCATCCACTACAATTAGTAGCATGTTTAGTTGCCTTTAAGAACAACAAATTTTTCAAATATTTCTGGCGTTAACCACCTCCTGTCCGGATGAAACATTTTTCCTGCAGATGAGAAGTCTCTCAAAGGGAGGGTTGTGTTGCATCGAGCAAAAAGACTTGATCAGTTTGTAACTTCAAAGGTTACGCGGTCCAGCCATATATTACTATGTTTAGAACTGGTCTTGTTTTTTTATGTTTTATGAATCATAGAGAAAGTAAAATACAAAATTTCTCCAATCTAAAGTATCTTGTTACAAATTACATTAGAATCAGCCCTGTCAAATACCAATTACAAAATACTTGAAAGTACTTGAAATATATGTAGTTCTAATACATCTCTGTTTTAACACATATTAAAGGAATAGTTTGACGTTTCAGTATATATGGTTAAATTTCTTTCTTGTGGATCTGTACAATTACAAAAGAGAAACCGCTAGTCGGGCAATGTTGAAAGGTAACAAAATCAGCGAGGGTGACTGGCCACCAGTTTTCAGTCTTGCTAAGCTAAGCTAATAGGCTCCTGACAGTAACTTCATATTTGCATACAGATACGGTATCAAGCTGTTTCCTCTGATAGCAATGAAAACAATGTGAACCATGATGTAGATTAGTATCTACTTCAGTCTCTAACCCACTACTCTTTTATAATTACAGTTGCCTGGAGTAGCCGTGTGCAGTCCAGAACTATGCTCCTGAAAGCGATGAGAGTGAAGCAAAACAATGAAGTCGCAAGCAGAAAACTATTTATTTATTTTTGAACTTAATGCAGCTCAAATTACATTTTCACAACTCATGAGACGATTTACTAGTTCAGTTAACTCACATATTCCTACATTTTTAAGTTGAACCAGCTTGTAATGTTTTATGGCGTAATGTTAAGTAACTTTTGGATTCAAATATACCATTCCATGTTGCACTGGCAGTACAGAAACGCTTCACAAATTCTTCCATAGGCTGCGCACCTGCCTCTGGCTCCTGCCTGCATGCCACTTGATGCTTTTACTCAAATATGCCTTTCTATATGGCCTCTAAACGGCCCAGGGGAAAAATGGAAGATAATCAGATACAGATTCATGCAGGTGAATGTTGTGCGTTGCTGCACAGGTCAGTCCAAGGAATCCTTCTTTCCAAGGAGTGGTTGTACTTTCAGTCCAGGTGTGCAGAGACACAGAGAAGGACTGCTGCCAGGACCTCAATAGCTTTTTTTTTAATGGATAAGCTATATAGTCAGAAGTCAGAGTCATGCATTCCTCAGGAAGGGAGGGCGCTACCTGTGTAGAGCTCTTCTTGTCCCATTAACACCTTTTCACAGTTGTTCCTTCACCTCACCTTGATCCATGGCATTTTTCCTCTGGCAGACATTAAACACCCCAGTAGGATATCATACAGACAGGTAGGCCGTGGCAGTATGCTCAGTCCACTTATGAAGAACAGAGAGAAAGTATGAGGCTGAGAACTGATAAATAGGTAGTGTTTAGCTGTACGTCTTGCCTGGCAGAGGGTTCTTGGCAGACCAGAGAGTGTAGGTCTCTCTCAGGCAGATTTACTGCATGCCAGAGGCTGAGGTCTGAGGAATGTCCCCCTACAGTGAGAAATAGAGGGCCATGGGAGGGTGAGCTAGACAGGCTGAGGCATCTGTACTTCGAGATAATATAGGATTTGACAGTAAGACAAGAGTTTTTTATTCCTATCAAAGGATTTGGAGCTCCATCTCTCTCTCTCCTGGGAAATTCTGTGTATTGCCAAGTTAAGACATAAAACCTCACATATCAAAACTCAGTAAAAGCTGTTGGAAGTCACCCATGAGTGAGACTGTCGTGATTTTAAACGATTTAGATTCACATGACAGCCTTGCAGAAGAGAGGCTTTCTTTAAAAGGGGCCCCTTCAAACCTGCACGCCACGCTACACTGATGTTAGTTTACACATTGTTGCACAATGTTGTCAGTGCTTTATGGCATCGGATAAGTGCATGTTTCCCTCCATGACAAGCTGCCCCACATTTTGATCCATCAGGGTTACATCTGTTTGAACACTGGCCATAACCCACTCTAAGAGGACAGCAAATTAAGCACATTAATCCTTATCCGTGCTGGGGAAAAAAATACACAAAGTATAAGTCACATTGTGGCATTAAATCCTCCTACTGCGGTCTAATTTTATTTTTTACATGCTCATTTTGTAGTCAAACGAATATTGTCAGGTGACAATTGACCTGACCCTTGCACTCTGTACTGTTGGCTGCTTGCATTTTTGGTTGATCAACACAGGATTACTATAGATTAGTCTGCAGTTGCAGCCACCGCAAGTCGCTCTGGATAAGATAAAATACCTACAATGTGAACCACAGACAGCAAAATCACAGGGGGCTTTATTTTGAAACACAATCAGTGAGATAATTTGATTATAATTTGTGCTGTTCATCCACAAATTCTTATTGGGAAAAAAACAAGTTAGTTAATGTTGCTGGGTGATGAAGGATGTTTGTGATTAGGAAGGATGTTGGCTTAAACACTGCTCTTCCTGCATCAGCTTGCCTGGGTGTGCTACAGTATGTGCTGTAGGTGATTACATTCCCTGCAACAGCGTCCTTATGCATTAGAGTGTGCATTGCAGTCTGTATTATGCATTTGCATTTATATCATTTGATGTATTAAGGCAAATTCCCAAAGTGACAGAAACTTATCTGTGCATGAGCCAACCCTCTCAAGACGGATGAAACATGGCCGAAACACATTCTCATAAAAAAGAGGCATTTTCCATGCC